TGTGGTTGTTTTGTGTCTCTTTGTGGTTGTTCTGTGTCTCTTTGTGGTTGTTCTGTGTCTCTTTGTGTTTTTTTTGGGTATCTTTGTGGTTGTTCTGTGTCTCTGTGGTTGTTTTGTGTCTTTTTGTGGTTATTTGAGTCTATTTATTGGTTGCTTTGTGTCTCTTTTCGGTTGTTTTGTGTCTATTTTTTGGTTGTTTTGTGTCTTGTCTTTATTATTTTGTGTCTGTTTGTGGTTGTTTAGTGTCTTTTGGGGCCATTTTGTGTCTCCTTGTAGCTGTTTGGCGTCCCATTGTGACCATTGTTTTGTCTCTCTGTGGTGGGTTTGCATATCTTAGTAGGTCTTTGTTTTCCATCTCTTTGTGGTCATTTGGTGTCTCAGTGCAGCTCCTTGTGGTCTTTGCACTTATATGTTCACAAGGTGAGAGTGAACCAGGACGGTAAAGGTGTAGCTGGACAGAAAAAGCGTGTCTGAAACTCACCATAAAGCTGCGTAAGCTGAGTGGAGCTGCAGACTCAGCTGATCATTCTTCGTGACCAAAGACTCCTAAAAATTAAACTTTCATTTTGTCTCTTTATGAGGTTCTTCTTATTATTATTAATAATAGATTATAGCTGCTTTCGGTGAAAACGGTGTGAACTGTCTCCCACAGTTCTCTTCACATGCTGTTTTCTGCCTTCAGCTCCCCGTTTCTCTCTTTCACTAATGGCTTAACACACATTTGAAAACACTTGACCTACATATTCAGAGAGCATATCGGAGTGAGTCAGGGGAAACAGCTTTACTCAGCAGACTGAGCTCACACACTGTAAGAACAGTCTGGGATGTAACCTACACAGGACACCACATCTTTAATTATGTAAAGTAAAGCAGGACATGGGTACACTTAGTGGTTTTATGTTTATTTGCTAATCACATTTTCTCATTCAGGAACATTTACACAACAAATAAAACATACTGAGGTAATTATGATAGTATTTCATGTTGTCATCTGCTATCTTACTGCTGTTAAACGTAGAAAAATACATTATAAATACATTAAAACATACCTGAGTTACTTTAATGTACATGTTACATCTTGTTTAAGTTCAGCTAAGGCCGGAAGTAGCTAGCTAGTGCAGTCACAGAACAGTTGGCATTTGCATTGTTTTTGCTGTAGCTTGCTGATGTTACGATTGTTTAAACAGCACATCGTACATTAAACTAGCATTTCATTGCTAGCTGACGTTAGGGCAGTTACAAACAGGTAGCATTTATTGTTGTCGTAGCCATTAGCAAACCACCAGTGTGTGTGACACCTAGCTTAGCATACCTACTGAATGCAACGGCTACCAATATAATCACAGAACAACTTAGTTTGCCATGAGTAGCCCATTGGTGTTACGGTAACTGTTAGCTTTTATAATATCGAACATTAAACTCACAATTGATTTTAAGATAGCTGCAAACAGAAAGCATGTTGAACTGCATGTTGATGTTCTAAGTTAACACTGAAAATATCCAATAGACATCTAGAAACAAACAGCTAGCATGTATTTCATTTCATAAATAACCACAAATATGTCTAGTTTAGCTTCGTACAAATACTAAAGGTGAGAGGAAACTGTTAGCCAGTGTACCCTAAAAAAAACTAGCATACTCAGTGTTTTGCTTGGTATGTATAGCTAGTTGACGTATCATAGCTAAACAGTTAACATATCCAACATGCTAACTTGTAAGCGGCTGATGTTATTTTGGTTTAGCTAACGGGTCGAATGATAAGCCAGTTAAGCTTGATTAGCTAAGGATTGGGGAAAAATGAATGTTCAAAATAAGAGTGAAACAATGCTGAAAAAAACCAAATATGTACAATGGACATGTTAGCCTTGCTTTGGAAGCTGTTAGCCTAGCTATCAAAAGTAGATAATGTATGTTGTTGTTGCTTGTTGAACTGAATTTATTAAATATAAAAATACGGTTGTGGTTTTAGCACCTGTTAGCGTTTACCTATTAGTTGACCAACAACCACTGGGTTAATTACAATAAAAACATAATTCAAATAAAGCTTAACTAATGCCAGAGCAACAACAATTAGCTGATTAGTTCACCTATTTTAGTACCTGATAATTATTTGTCATTTTTAAAGCAAAAACTGTCAACTATTTGCTGTTTGTAGCTTCTTAAAAATGATGTGATGCCTTTCTCTGGCCAATGTGGTGGTAAAGAGAATAATTTAGAATTGCTGAACCCACAAAATGAGACAAAAACAAGAGACAGCTATCCTGTTGAGAGGGGGTGTTTTTCGTGTTGTACATCAACCTGACAGGTTTTCAGGAGTTTCAGTGTGATGAGTTAGAGGTCAGAGGTCATAACATTATCACCGGCCGCAGCGAAATCACACCGTGTGAGTGACGGGTCAATATGAGCAGGCTGTCGTCTCTGGATCGCTTTAAAAGCCTCTTTAAGGCCTCGATGACAGGGAAGCTCATTTTACCTTCAGCAGGAGACAAAGGCTCAGTGTTTGGTAGCAGTGAGATCATAGAGCAGAGACCACATCAAAAATATCACCCGGCATCAGATAGCACGGAGCATCATCACCTCACCTCATTTTATT